CCTCACTTTGAAAAGAGGCAATGGGAATGTGGAAGCTTGAGTAGAGCCGCATGCCACCGAACAATCAGCCTTTTCACTGTGTAATTCAAAGTGTGCAGAGCACGCAGGGCCACAAACTGAGAATTTGCGGTTTGGCAGGTGGCCTTCGTGGCCAAGCGAGGCTGGAGTTCTTGGAGTTGGCTTTCGGGAAGAAATTCCCGTCGTCAAGGGGTTAAAACCATCACAAGAAACCCACAGGACTAACACAAGACCTCCAGTCTGAATTCAAGTCACGACCTTCATGTATTTAAATGAACTACAACAAAAGTAAACCCTCGTCGTTGTTCACTCTGTTGAGACTGGTCATATGAATGGTCTTATGCATCATCTTGTCTTTGGTCTCGTGATAGTTTCAACTACAAGAATGAATACATTTTATACCTGATGTTGTGACATCAGAACCCACCAGACAGTGTTAACCCTAATGCCATAAATAGTCCACAGGAGTCAAAGAGTCACAGGGGCATTCAGGGCTGTTAATGTCAATTAATAGTTTAACATTAAAGACAGCCCAGCTGAACTCTGAAATTTGTCCCAAGATTTCACACACTGATAAGCACTGTTATGTCTTCCCACTAACAGCTCAACAAAGAGGTAGTGCGACCCTTTGTAGGACGACTTCTGGCTGCCTTATTGGAGTGTTTCAGTGATGACAGCTGGCCGGTCAGGGATGCTGCTTGTGTGGCTTGTGGCAACTTTGTCGGTTGTTTCCCTACAGAATCAAGGTAAGGACAACGTGAAAAGAAATCATAACTTGTGGTTGTTAAGTACAATTTCTGCAGTAAAATTCCAAGCGAACCAGTAGAGATGTAATTGTGTTGTGGGTTGCTGGCGGTGCCATGATCTTTGCTCGATTACGTACTCAAAGATTCAGCTGAGTTGCCAAAAGGTGGAAGTTAGCCACACCCTCAAAATAGCCGATGTCTTTCAACCAACGTACATGTATCTGTTAAAGCCCTGGCCTGTGGTATCCGGACCAATCATGGCCGTGATAGCACAACCAGATGTTGGACAGAAAACCAGCCTTACGGGTAGCTGGAGTGTGGAAGGTTGCACTTGATGCTTGTGTCTGAAGCACACGTTGTGTTACTGGAGATGTGCCCGCTGTTGCTCACGAGCCATCCTGAATGGATTGCTACATACACACACCTCAACAACCTTTCCATTAACACTTCCAAGCCTATTTTTTGTCATTTTTGTATCAGTTCTCACCCTTGTGGAAACAAACGTGTCTTATTCTGTATTTTTGGATTGAAATCAAGGTTAACTATTTATGCTGGAACACAAATTAGCAAAGATTCATGGGCCAGTTGGCCCAGGTGTGTGTGTGCTCGCTCATCTAAGGGCATCCTTGTTTGGCCACAAGGGACGTTGCAAGGAGTTGCTTAGTCTTCCAAACTTAAGCCCACATATGGAAATATTTTGCTTGTGGCTGGCAACAGCACATGTACTTATGGAAAGTAGATGTTAGCATGCTCCCATAGAAGCCTGTGTTAAGTATGCCACGGTGTTGTACTCGAGTCCGTCACAAGTCCATCACAAGTCATGCAATCTTAAGCCAATACACAAACTATTCAAATGAGCTGTGACAAAAGCCTTCGGTTATTGTTCACCCTGCTTCTAATGACTGACCTTGTGAAGGAACTTGTGACTGGACTTGTAAAGGGATTTGGGCTGGACTTGTGAAAGGACTTGCGATAGGCTTAAATACAACACTGGTTTGCCATCACCAGCAGTCAAAATTCTCATAAATTGTAGTGAGCCACCTTTTTCATTCATAAATCATATGTTTATTGATTTGTTTATTGATAGTAAGAAGCAGTTCTTTTTTCATTGCCTCATTAGGCCGAGTATGGAGAAGTTGTACCCACTTTTCTTTGCCAACCTAGCTGATAACATCCCTTCGGTCAGGCAAGGTGCCGCCGTTGCCCTAGTCAATGTCGCTAAGGCCTACGGTGAGTAGACCTAAAACATAATGATGTAACACAGTGTTTACCGTAGTCCGTTGTCGGTGAAAAGTGGGGATAGAGTCATAAGTCATGTGAGCCTTTGCGCGACTTTAGAAGGAGCAAACTTGCCGTCTCGTGGTAGCTTGAAAATATGCATCTCCAGTATTTGTTGTGTGCTTGATTCACACAGTGGCATACAACAGTTAACACAAACCATTTTGGAAAATGTAGGCCCTCTCAATCTTCGGATCTTTTTGATAATTTGCCATGTGCATGGTTCTAGCAATAGCGCGCGTTATGTGTCGTGACTGTCGTACCCCGTTTCACCCAAAGTGCACCGCGGTAAACATTGCGTTATGTCATTTTTGTATTACATGTAGGTCTGTTGTCTTCTCCGGACATGCGTATGTCCGTAGTTGTTATTTCTGCCAGTGGTCTTCTGCAGTTGAATTTGGGAAATAAACAGTGTTGTAACCAGTTTTTGTATTGGAGTCCGTCACAAGTCATTAGCCAATTCACAAGCTATTCAAATGAACTGTGACAAAAGCATTCTTTTGTCATTGTTCACCCTGTTACTTAAGACTGGCCTTGTGAAGGGACTCGTGACGGTACTTGTGAAAGGACTTGTGACTGGCCTTGTGAAGTGACTCGTGACTGGACTCGTGACGGTACTTGTGAAAGGACTTGTGACTGGCCTTGTGAAGTGACTCGTGACTGGACTTGTGACGGGACTTGTGACTTGCCTTGTGAAGGGACTCGTGACTGGACTTGTGACGGGACTTGTGATGGACTGGAATACAACACTGATTGTGACAATGTCACCTGGAGGAATGAGCCACTTGCGAGTTAAAGTTGAATAAAATCTGGTACACTGTGTTATTTGATTGCATAGAAACGTCACAATTTGAATTCCCCAGACTAAAGACACTGTTGCTATACCTCGTGATTTGGGGCAAGCTTTTGCATAGCGACCACAATCTCTGGAATGGAATGGTTCCTTTGTGCCCTTCTAATCCATTGAGTACAGTGTATTGTTGCAAGGCGTCTCTTACGTAATTCAGCAAAAGCTTGCCCCAAATCATGAGTTACAGCAACAGTGGTTTAGTATGGAGAATTAACTTTGTTATGTTCAGATGAATTTAAAGAACTCAGTGTACCAGATTTTTTTCAAATTTAACTCACAAATGGCTTATTGACCACAGTTTCTGCTGCAGATGCTGAAATTGTGGTGTTGCTTACAATACAGCCAGTGTGTTTTTTATGCTGTCGCCAGTATGAGTGATCTTGACTTCAAACACAGTAAAGGGAGCCAGTGCCGGTGTGTTGCCATCCTATTAACAGTGTTTGACATGAGTTGAGCTTTCCCAAATCTCTTCCACAGTACATGTACATGTAAGTCCTGAGGCACGCTGTGTTTGAATTGAATGTTGAAAAAACAACTTTATTGTCAAACCTGGCAGATAATTGTGTTCCGTCGGTGTTTCACTGCAAAAGGGAATAATAACTTTCCGGATGCAAGACCTGCTCAATTGTTTCACTCAAGCTACAGCCTTGCATTCTTTTTGTAGTGTTTAAACCGTTTCCAGAAGTTTAAGTGCTTGCAGAAATTTAGAACTGCTTGCGAAACACGCTGGTTTATGTAAGTGGCTTCCTTTACTGGTGTTATTGTGTCTTATGCTATTGTTGTGTTGCTACTGCTATCAATTCTTTATGTTGCTAATGGAAGAAAACTACGTGGCTGTGAAGTAGTGCTGTGAGACAGTGATGAATATGTGTGGTTAAAATGGCGAAAAGACTTTGTGATGCATTCTTGGCCAGGCGGGAGTCATTTCATGGACGGAATGTCACAGTAACCAGCTTGTTTCTCCACGCAGGCGAGGAGGCTATCAACCTGCTCGTAGACAAGATCAAGGAAGGAGTCTCTGGTATCGACCAGCAGAAGGCCACCTCCGAGAAGTACAGTGACCTCGACAAGGGGCCCGCAACCTTCAGTGTTGCCAAGAGGTTACGAGATAACGACATTGAGTTGCACTCAGACAAGCAGGTATCATGCTGTCATCCACTCGTTCCTGTCATTCCTACTCGCACCACAAATAGGATATGTGGTTGTGAGGGAAACATTAATTTCCTCCAAATTAGTACATGTACATGTATGTCATGCATTATCAACCCTACTTCACTAGGCACGTTCCAGAGAATCGATCTTGAGTTTATAAAGATCTGCCACGCTCTGCAGCAACCTAAGGTTGCATTCGTCGCCCGTGAAATTTTAAGGGGAATCGATTTTCTCATGAAGTACTGAAGCAGTGGCTGGTCTGTATTCCTTCAGTCCTGCAAAATCTTTTATTACACAATCCTCTATTCAACGGATTGCGAAATTTTGTGAAGAGTTAGGGACAGTAAAAAATTTCTGAAGGAAAATTGCAAGGGGAAATTTATCACTGAAAGTTGATTTTAACGCAAGATGCCTCTTTTGTCTGGAATACTTTTTAATGCCTCTTCACTTCGTGAGATGTTAACATAAAAGGCTTGGGACACACATAACACTAAGTGTTACTTGGACAAGCTTGTTTGATCTGGCTACGACGCGTTACAGTTGTGTAGACCACTTGCGCACACTTTGGCACGGACGTGCGGCGCGGCACTGTTGGAATGGGCAAGATTTGGGACACACATGTACATTTATCTTCTGTTGGTTAATGGGCGAGGATTCCTTGATCTGACCACCACTGGCCTACCACATTTGTGTCATGCCCCAAGTTTGGCATCAGTCCCAACTATAGTTAGGACGGTCCCAACTGTAGTTGGGCTTGCCCGACTAAAGTTGGCAAATTCCTACAGTAAATTTCTCAACCTTCTCAAAGGTTTTGCAGCTCACACCTGGCAGAATCCATCCAAAGTGTGCCATTGAATATCATTTCATTCATAGAACAAGTAAAAATTAAATTTTGCCAGCAAGAGCTAATGACAAAACTAAAAAGATATTGGTCCATCTTATGGCACCGACTGGCACTCTTTGCTTCAGTTGGGCCAGCCCTGCATTGGCAATATTGTAGTGTTTGGACTGTCCCAACTACAGTTAGGACAGATACTTTAGTTGGGACCCAACATATGCAGTAGTTGGACACATGGCAGTAGTTGCTTTCAAGGTCAGTCTAGCTCAAGGGAGAACATGTACATGTACTTGTGCACGAAGACCATTATCTGCCAAATGTCACGCAAAACCTTCCATATACCTGCAGGCCAATCCAGACAGGGAATCGGGAGCCATGTTGGTGGACAGGTGGTACATGTATGTGCATATTACATGCCGTTGCCACCGATATGGTGTCATGAGTCCCCTGAATGCCCAAACTCAAGTCTGCGAATGCGCACCAGTGGTGCCACTGAAGTAATAGCCCCTTCCTTAGATTAGTTGATGCTGTTGCCTATGTAGGATCTGTTAGTTTCACACTGATCAGAATCTCGATTAGTAATCTATCACTGGTTCAGTGACACCAGAACCCACCTAATGGATGGAGCGAACCAGCATTGGGACCGCTGAATGAGATCCAAATCCATGTGAAATAAACTGGCCTGTAGAGACTAAGTTGAAATTCTGTGCATGTTGTTGTGGCTACCAGTGAAGTTCAGTTAACTTGATGTGTTGTTCCTGCTCACCAGTCCTGATCCTAGCTTCTGTCTTTCTTACCAGATGTACTCCTGCGGCTCATTGGCACCCAAGATGGGGCGGGGCTCCAAGAGGGAGGGAGGCTGCATGGATCACAAATTCCGGAGACCGTCCGAGCCATGGGAGGTTTGTGAAGGGTAAGAAACACTCACTGTGTCAGCAGTACTTCCATGCAAATTGTGTGATCTGTAATTAACCTTTTGTTGTACATTAAATCTAGTATTTTTGTTGTGATTGCTTTATCTGTCATCTCTAGTCCGTAGAGAATGAGGCAAAATTAGTTACAGGAAGAAAACTTAAATGCTGAACTTTCCACTGTCTCAAAAGCTCTTTGGAGACTGCACCACAGTTACATGTAATTCATTCCAGTGTTTGTCTTAGTCTGTAAAAAAGGTTGGAGAGGTTGTACTGTGCATTTATTGGTGAAGGTTTTCGATCAGTTTTGGCATTCCAACAAATAAAGTCATTACTGGTGTGGACAGTCACTCTGACCTTGAAACAGTGGTTTCGATTCAAGTGGATTTCATTGTTGACTGACAGAGAGTTTGAGCTCTTTCCCCTGTTGCCACTGTTGTTTCCAGGTGTATACAGTTGTTATCAGAGCTGTCGTCAATCCAGTCGTTAGCTGCAACTGTTGGGACCATCTTGCCCTCGGTGGCAGAGGCTACAAGGATCCAGACCTATGCCCAGCATGTGCACCTCTTAGAGACAGTGTGCAAGCAGGTTGGTTTCCTTTTTTTCCCCTTGAGTCAAGAGGTGTATAAATTGAGTGGAATGGGATGTAAACTTGCAGCTTGTTGTACACTTTACCACTGCATGACAATTTGAGCAGTCCAGCACCTTCTTGTTAGTTCCAATTTCTCAGTGTTTTTGTTCAGTGATGCTATTTAGGCTGCACGTTCAAAACAGAGAAACTGCAGGTAAATGCATGTAGCTGCACTTCAAGTTTTTCTTGATAAACTTGTGTGTGTGGAATGAGGAAAGTAGCCTTGGAAAGCAATCAAGAGTACTCACTTTAGAAAAATTTGCCGATATGCCAGATATCCGAAGAGTGTGGTTCTTTGCTGGGTTTGGCACTGTAACTCTTTCAGTCATCACAACCACTTTGCTCTTTCTAAAATCCGTTTCATGGTGCACACCCAATTGCTAATGACCTATAAATAATGTTCCAAAAATAACATCAAGATTTTGAAAGTACATGTATCCCCTTGTGTTTGGACAGTACTTTTGTGTCTGCATGCACTTTGATGAGTGTTTTACAAAGTTCTTACTTGAAATGGCAACTTCCTTAAAGTGGGCAAAGCCATTGCTAAATATTGCAGTGTAATCTTGTGAATGTGGAAAAACAAGAAGCGTGCAAGGACTCCGCTCAGGAACGCAAGGGGAATGTTATTATGATTGCACTTTGTGGTCTTCCTGATTCAATTTGAGAGCGTGTTCTCAAGGCTAGGGTAATACTCAAAAGCCTGTCATAATGGAGGAAAGTGCTAATTCAGTTGCCTCGGTGAAAACCACTTTATTTGGTAATGGGAGACTTTGAAGTTGAAAGAAGACAAGATGGTTTGCAGTTTGAACCAAACTCTGTCGGTGTGACAGAAACAGATGTTTGATTTCTCAAAGTACCGATGGGTAAAAGTGTAGGTGCTGAAAATTATTTAAAAAGACAAAATGCTACAAGAAGTCCACTAAATTACTCAACTGCTTTTAGCTTCCGCCAGTAATCATTACATCTTAACCACAAGCCAAATGACATGACAACATGCAGAGATTTCCGTTGTTGTTACGCGGGGGACGTTTAAACTTGTCCAAACGAATATTCTTTGCAGCACTGGGGACATGTATTCTCATCCTTTAGTAATGCTTGAGTAATTCTTGAAGTGTTTGTGCACACACAGAGGCTTAAACTAGTCCGTAGAGGTTGAGCAAGTGTGTCGCCCTCAAGCAGCTGCGGGCTGAGGTCGGGCACTGAGCAAATAACAACATTGTCCCAGCTTTTCTGTCAAGCGACAATGCAGTAAGAAAAGTTGGCACAGATCTGGAACAAATGACCATTAAGGATCGGCATAAATTTGTAAAGTACAGCTCAGTAAAGGAATGTGGGGGTGGCACAGGTATGTTCAGCTGAAAATGATTACGCGCATCGGACTAATTTGATGTGGACTAGTATTGTCTGTCAGTGGTTAAAAGTGACAAGCTTATTAAAAATCATGACGTTATTTATGGGCTGCTTTGTGTATTTTATGTAATTTACATTCACATACATTGTACAAGTACAATTGTGACAGAGGACCCACTGTTTGACCTGTGATTGATCAGTGATGTTCCCTGTGGCCACATGCTACGTGTAATTGTGAAGTGCAAATGATTCTAGGTTGAAAGACAGTTGAATTACAGGATATCATTTGGAAAGATGTACTCTCCTGGCTCTCTGCTGCATAGTGCAGCGTGATTGATGTATTTTTTTTTTTGGCTGGTCGTGCATGCAAATGGCAAACTAGACCCAACCAATCATTATTAAATGTGTAGTTAATGGCCGACTGTGTAACTTGAGGCTTTTGAGGCTGGAGAGTTTGCAGATTTGACAATTTTGCAAAGTTTTTGGGGATACATGTACATGAACTTGTATCTATTCAGCTTAAGCTTTCATTGCCCCAAAAAGCAATTTGAGTAAATGTTCTTTGAGATTACCATCCCTTTACATTGTAAGTACATGTATTAATTTTTTGTGTGTACAGTAAGCTGCCTCCGCTTTGCATGTATCAGTTACCAGTTCGATAAATATTTTTTTTTAGTACTTGAAATGGTTTTTATGCCATAGTGCTGCTCACCTGTTTTTCCTCTGGTTGGGCTCTGTGTTGCTCATTTATCATGCAGAAACACGGTTTATAAGTAAGAGCACTGGTCGAAGAATGTCCTGCACCTTTCCTTTTTTCAACCAATGGAACCATGGCAAATGTGTTTACGTTATCAAGGCACCGTCCTACAAATGGGAAACAAATGGCTCATTGAAAGCGGCCTGGGTGATGAGACATGCCGTTGTCAAACACACTTTTGCACTGTCACCCGATGCCAAAATATTCCATCACAAACATGCATGCTGTTCGGAGCTTCTCTACCACCTCAAGATAGCACCAAATTGGCTGTATCCCGTGTGCTCTCTACCCTTAGGGGTCCAGCTGTTGTTGTTGAACCTGCTGGGCTTGACCTCTGCAAGTACTGTAAGTGGGGGGAGGGGACAAGCGTGCCACGTTAAAACCCCAGCCGGGGGGGGGGAAATTTTGTGATTTCCCCTGCCGAGAGGGAGTATCCGCTGCCTGCATGTCTGGCTTGAATCAAAATGTTGCCCCTCCCCACTCTGGTGTACATATACCCTTTCCTGTGTTTACACCTTCTGTCTGTTGTTTTCACAGAGTGAGAGGATGCGTTTGTTGAAGTGGGGACAGACTTTGTTATGCTTTGAATGCACATGTACACTGTTGAAGTACACTGTATTTGTACATGTAGGTTAATTACTGATGTTCCCACACTGGTACATGTACATGTTTGCAGATATGTAAACATTGCATATATATATGTACATGCACACGTAGTATGTGCTTGCATGCATATTTAACAAACCTTCTCAATTTAGTGTGTATTGAAAATTAATCCTAACACTCCTCAATCCTCCAACAGGTGAAGGATTGAGGAGTGTTAGGGTTAATATAACTACATTCAGAATCAGTGCATGTGTATTCACAAGTGAGTTAATTTTTAAAATTGAATTTGGGACAGTGTACGTACATTTTTGATACTAGTTCTCCCTGTTTCAGCTTTCGAGTTATTTAAATACTTCCCTCCTCCAAGACTAAATATTTGGTCTTTTCTAGATTTAGTTCTTGCTTTTTTGAACTTGCCTCAGTAAAACCACAGTGTTACATGAAATTGTGTCAGGGGTGAAGTGGTTGGTTGAGAGTTTTGCAAACAAATACCTGGAACCAAGAATATCTGTCTTGTAGGATTTAGACCATTTGGAACTTTGTGCCATGGGCAAGTATTTCAAATCACAGTGTGCAGAACTTCTAAAGTACATGTACACGTAGTGGTCTCATCATTATAGTATGGCATTTCTGATGCTGAGCAGCATTGGGTATTTGTTTCTGAATCTCTTTCAGCTGCCAGTCATCGCAAAGAACATCGGCAAGAGATATTTTAAGCCAACTTTGGAGAACTTTCTTGATCCCATCTTCTATGCCTTGGTAAGTGTCCAGACTTTTCCTCTGTAAAACCAACATGCTTTGTTCATGAGCCAATTGCATTTTGTGTGAGAAACCAATGTGAGTATTTGTATGTGCCATAATAGAATTGTGGTGTAGTATTTGTCAGTACAGTGTACAACATTTTACATTTCTTAGCTTAAAGCGACAGTGCACATGTACACCTATCTTGTACATGTACATTTAAGTGGAAGGTGTATGGACTTTTAGTGGTATTATAGAGGAAGGGAAAAGGCTTCAAATGTTACTACATTTAAGGTTTTGAAGGTACTAGATTTGCCAGTCAGAAAGCAGTATTTCTGTCCACAACCAACAGGGCCGATTTTGGAAACACAGGAAATCAAATTTTGAGTTCATGTTGGCTTGATGACTGAACAGGGAGAAAGGCACAACAGGGACAAGTATGCATGAAGCATGCATGCAGATACATGTACAGTGTACACTGGCATTGTTGCTGCCCAAATGCATTAAAACAAGGAGTTTTGATGACGTGTAGAAAATGCACAGTCTTACACATTAATCTCTGAGATGCCTAAACCTGAAATCTTACTCTAAGCTTGTGAGATATGTTCTGAAATGAAGTACAAGACGTTGAAGGTGGAGTGGAACTTAACCTCCGGGGCATATATGAAAGAGTGCACTCGCGTTCATGTGTAGTGGCAACAGACTATTCATACACCACAGAGAATAACACGGTCAATATAGGAGTACCCAGGCCTGAATCCTTAGGCTGAATTGTGGTCTACCTTGTACATGTACATGTGTGTACGTGTGAAGCTTTGAGAAAAAAAGACAGCAACCCACGTGCATGCTTGTTTGCCAAGTCTACAATGTGTTGAAGAAAAGAGATAAACATTTATCGGCTTCTTCGTGTGAAATTGAGGGAATTCATTTCCTATGAAAATAACAATAATTTATTCGTTGATGAATGAGGACGATGGCACAGAACCTGTCAGTGATGCAAGGCTGCTACGGCAGTCCCAAAAACAAACCTGGCAGTGGTCCAGCAGCATAGCACCGTACGCCGCCAGCTGCAACACAACATGAGCAGTCGGCAAGACTTACTGTATGCGTCACTTTTCTAAATTCGAAGTGCTTTGGCAGTACACAGGATATTTGTCGAAGCAGTCCTCCAAATATCCTTGGCATATTACTTAATCTGCGACAACCGCGTTATTGCACGGAAGCCTCAAGACCAATTCTCAGTGTATGAGACTCCTGTCCAAACTGCGCAATACCGGGGTACGTGTATGTTTTGTTTTATGACTAAAACACAACAAATCGTGCACTTGAACGTGATGTATGGAACAATCAATGTACTGGACAAGAACTGCACAAGAACATTGTATTTTGAGCCTGCCTTTACAACAAGATTTCCGTGTGAAGATGCACCACGTTTTCAGCTGTATATGTACATGTATCTCTCCATGACGTTTTGGGGTCATTGCCATATCATTAACCCTAACAGTCCCAAATCCCCCAATTTCAAAATGATTTTACATGTACATACACCCTAGGGGGTTAGGGTTAATATATAATGAGTGTTTCTGAAATTGGCGAAAAACGGACTCAGGGAAGCCCGTTCTTTGGACATTCTTTGATCATTAATGGGAAACTGTGTCATTTTTTTCTTGTTAATTTTGGAAGATGGTCTTGTCACCTCTTGCTTTAAGGTTATAAATGGGGAAAGAAGGTTTTCTTTTCCCTATCTCTTTAATGGTTCGAAGTCATAAACCTAGGGTGGGGGTCCAGCTGCTGGTTAAAGTTTTTGACCTCGGATAAGTCACTTTACCCCTAACCCCCCTAGGGTGTGAGGACTGAGAACCGTTACGCTTATTTCCACTTGTCTCTTTCCTCTCAGGGTTATAAATAGGTGCATGTACGGTACCTGTGATGGCAAAAATGTTTGTTGCATTTGTTAGCTGTTGGTACCTGAAATGGCATTCGCTTTCAATGGTTTTTTTTTGAGTGAGCTAATTAAGATGGTTTTTACTAAGGGACCATTGAGAAGTGGTAATAGTGATGAACACCTGTGCATGTACATGTAATGGTTGATATACGGCCCTCATGAATACCCATTAATTATATATGGCCTTTATGAATACCATTTTTATAATTATTTACTGCAAGGGCATGTATTGTGAGAATCAACTGAAGGGGCCTTATTCCTGAAAACATAATGGGAAAGCAAAAGGCAAAACTGTAAATCGGTCTTGATTTAATTGATTATGGGTTTTGTAGAAAGCATTCATTTTTTGTTTTTTATTATTGCTTTCTAGTTTTTTGTTTTGTTGTTTTTGGTTTTAAATTTGTTTTCACATTCATGAGGCTGATGGCTTGGGGAACATAGTTTAGGAGCTTTGCTTTCCAAAATCTAAGAAACACAGGCTTATGGCAGTGCAGTGATACTTGTAATGGGATGCCAACAAGTCGTCGTATTGGAAAATAGTGCACATTTTCTTTTGGCTCAAAGAAATAGTGAAGGTAAACGAGAATAAATTCTTGACACAACAAAGCTTTTTCCTCCTGGAAAGCAAGAAAGGGCAAGACAGTGATTTTGCATCGTGCTAGTAACAGATTGTGAGCCTTACAGTGGTTTTTGTCGCAACCTCGGCTACTGCCGAGGATTACAGAGTGATGCACTTGAATGCAGCCAAGCAGGCTGATAATTGCAGAAGCTACATAATTGCCTGTCGTCACCCAGCGTTGACAGAAATGCGTGAAGCTCCAAGACAAGAGGTCTGCTGCCAGTTTAACGCCATCTTAGATTTTTTATTTGTTACTGTTCCCCCTACTCCAAGAGGCTTTTCACAGTGTTTGAAAGCGTATGAAGTTTAAGTGCATCTAATACTCAAGCACTTAAGGGCTAAGTCAACTACAGACAAGCTACATGCCATTAAAGTCTTTCACTATTTAGCTTTTGCCTGGAGGATGCCCTCGGTGCATACTCCATCATCTTGATATCCCCTTGTAAATAGGATTTTAGCAAAGACTAACACAAGTCTGAAGGATGGATCATCTAGCCTCACTTAACTTGGTGAATCCATCCGTAGTACGGGCAGCTGCTGTTTCTCTTGGCTTAAAACGTACTTGTCAAAATTGCTTCTTTTTTTTCTTCCTCTTTTTTCTTTAGTAATGGGCAACTACATGTTGTCTCTTTTCCTTGATCAAATGACAGTTTCCCAGTGCTCTCATTTGTGTGCTTAATTTGCATTGCTGTGTGGCTCACTTTCTACCGGTATTTGCACTGAAAATACCAGATTGGTGGTGTCCCAGTAGAAGTGCTGTATTTGGATGTAAGAACCCTAAACATACGATGCTGGTACAGGATTATGAAGACGCCTGCTTTACGTAGTATATGTACAGTACTTCTTGCATATAATAGGTGTTCTGTACTTGCTTTTATGTACCGTAGGCCTTCAAGCATCCAGGGTTTTTTTCAATCGTTCCTCCAGTGCATTCATTATGTGCCTGGAGTGTCCAAGATTAAGCGTTACATACTGCAGTTAGCCACATGTCACCAGCTGCCCCGGGAACTAATGATCGCACATGTGTCATAAGTTTGATAAATCCCAATGTGGCAGGTACATGTATTCAGGAACAGGAAGGAATTTACTGCAATCATTGGCATATCCGGGGGGGAGGGACAGGCTCCCCTGATGGAATTTTTTTTCGCAAAGAAAACTTTGTGGGTGAGAAGGAAAGGAAGTAATCACTATATTTATTTATCAGTTATTAGCACCAAAACCCAAAGAAAACAACACCAGCAAATACACGCAAGGATGTGGGGACTGTCAGTAAGGCTTTTGATTTTTTCCTCCCAAACATCATGTTGAATGAGCCCGAAGCCACATTCGTTTTGAATTCCCCTTCCCCCCACCAACAGCTGGATACGCTGCCGACTGCAATCCTCCAATGTCGGCCATTGTTAAGGAAGAACTTAGTTAATTTTAGTAAGAGTCAAGTCTTTTGTAATGTACCGTAATTGTTGCTCAATGTTGCTGTCCTCATCTCTGCCTATTGCAAAGTTCTCCCAAGCCTGTGTATGGATTTCAAATGAGTGTCGTTAAAAGTTTGAAAATTTAAGAAAATAAACTTGCTCTTAGGCCATTAATGTTGTTAATATTAATATGAGAAGAATACAAGCTCTTCAAAATATCTCAGAAATCGAGAGGAACTAATTTTGAAAAATATGGATTTTTTTTTTACTGAACAGTCCTGTGATAATGCCCTCACCAGCAGTGCTGCCAGTCTGTGCCTGATTGAGCTTGGCAAGTACCTGGGCCCCAATATACTGAAGGGAAGAGTGGAACAGTACAATCCCAAGTAAGTCACCAGACTGACCTCGCTCGTTCCTACATGTAGATTTGGGCCAAAGATCGGGGTGGTGTTTTTGCAGTCCACAATTAAAACCAGGAACATGTTTGAGTAGCCCCTCTACAGGAAAAAAATGCAGAACCAGAAATAGTTGTGTCATCCAAGAGAAAGGCATTACAGTGTAATGTTTGAAGTGATATAGCTGGTGACATTTTTAACAACCATCATTTTCATTCAACGTACTGCATGTTTCTTACCCCTGCTCCCCTCTCTCTCTGCACATTCTGGAGGGAAATACTCTTGGGTATCACTGCATGTAGTAAAAAGTGTAGGAATGCCTTATTCACTTATTTTGGAGACAACCAAAAAAATTGTCTTGTGACTTTCTCAGCAAATTCTGCAATTTTGAGCCAGCAATGAGCATGCAGTAACAAGTGCAGGAATGCCTTATTCACTTATTTTGGAGACGATATCGAAACTTGTCTTGTGTCTTGTCTCAGCAATTTCTGCAATTTTGAGCCAGCAATGAACCAATGCATTTGGCTATCACTACATATATATAGTGACGTCACAAAGGTGCTTCATGCCCAACTGCTAACCAATAAGTGAAACGATGGCACGCCCTAGTCTATCGATGCGGTGTGAAGAATGGATAAGTTGGCAGAGTAGTCAACCTCCCGTGTCTTTTGTTGGGTGATCAGCTGTTGTCTTGTGTGGTTTCTTGCAGTTACATCAACAAGCTCCTTGCCAACCAGTGCGGTGCGCCACTCTGAAGTTTGGAAGACCAAACATAGCGACAACAGCCCTCAGCCAGCAACAGTGTGTGACACAGACTAGCTTCAGACCTTGACACCAACAATATTTTCTCAAGCAGTTTTATCACTGCTTGGAAGTATTGCTGGCAGTAACCTAAACCTTGATATGCACATCTTAAGGGAAACATCTCTTAACATTGCTGTGTTGTATCTGATCTGAGATTGGCTTGGATGACAAGGGACTGGGTGGGTCTGAAATAGGAAATTTATTTGCATGTCAATAAAGATTTATCAAAGTTGAGTATGCAGTACTTAAATTTACAGGGAACAAAATCTAAGATTCTAGAGATGACATGCCCTTTTGTTTACAACTAGTTTCTACAACTGATGAAGATAGTTAAAACAAAAGTACCATGCTTGTGAGAAGAAACGTGTATCAAGAATTGGAGGTCTGTGCAAGGATTAGTATTAAGTGTTTCAACTGGTTTGTGTGAATTTCTTTCAAAATTTGTACCTCCGTGATGCGATGATGTGACTTGATTATTGAAGTTGAATGCCTGTGAATTTCTATGGAAACATTTCTTTGAAAATATGAGGCTAAAGTTCATCCTAGTTTTTCAAACACTACAAAAAGGATTTTTGGACAGTAATTTGCTAACTGTACACAGCGTTTGCATTAGAGGAAAATCAAATCATTGAGAAAATACAGTGTTTAAGCAGAAGTACACGTAACTATGCAGCACCTGTTAAGTTTTTACTGGGGCGTTGACTAATTCTTGTGACACCGGAAAAACAGTGTTTAATGTAAATAGTTCTGTGCTTCACTGGGGACAAAATTATAATTTGCTCAGCACTTTGACAAAGTTGTGATTAGCCAAAAAGTGGCCACCAGCCAAACGTGTTGTCTGTCTGGATTGTTACTGGTTGTATGGTTCTCAGGAAAGTTACAAGCATGTACGTAGTGGCAAATGGGATGCAACATTGGTGAGAGAGGCAACATTCGTGCAGATGTGAAGTGCATCAATCAAACAGCATGTTGTGCACTGTGTGAGCTGTTTCTTACTTGTATTACCCTGGTAGGTCTTGATCAGGGATTTTTAGGTAATTACCCCTGATCATTAAAAAAATTGTATGCACGTTTCATCATTTTGGATATAGCCACCAAACCAAGCCTATTTTCCCGAGTCAACTTGTCAACCAGGCTTCCCTCTTGTATTCAGTCCACACTTTCTTGGTGTTCGTTTTCCCCTGAAATTTTCAAGCATTGCAAGCGATACAAGCTTGAACCAAACACCCTAGGTGTTGACATGCATGGCACCCACAGGTTTATATCAGTTTCTTGGAAGTATGTTTCTTTATCGGTCTTTCAGAAGGTGTACATCTGATATTTGCACAGAACAAAGAAATTGAATGTACTTTTCTGTAGTTTTGTGCAAAAAGAAAATCTAGACTAATTTTGTAACAGTTCTTGTAATGTACACGTACATTTTGCACACTAATTATCTGGGGAGTCATGTTGGCCTTTCACCTCTGCAGTTGAGGGTCCAATCCCGGCCCAGTCCACATGTGGATTAGGTTTTCAGTCCCTACCTGATTCCATGGGTTTACCCAGAATATTCCTGTGGGGTTTTCCTCCCACCTCTAAAACTGTAACTGCTTCTCATTGTCTCCTCTCTACAGGTTTCTTCAGGCTTACGAGCCATAGTACCTAGGGCACTTTTGAGGGATCCTTGGTTTCATTACCATGCAGAAATGATTAACAATAATAATAATCATCACCATCTGGAGTGTAGGACAGATTTAATGCATGATCTTGTTACATTTCAGTGTTTTGTATTTTAATGTTGGGTTCCCGATTGACAAAATTAGGGGCAGAACCCATAAATATCCTAATCCTGATGCAGTTTGTTTTGTACTGTGGTGAAAGGGTCCCAATAATCAATGGTTTTACACTTTTGATTTGTTGAAGTTATACATAGCTTTATATTAATAAACAGTACTCAAGTTGACTATGAAAGTCGAGGTAGAAATAATATGCAACCATCTGATTCGCCAGTAGTATTGTGCAGTTGTAAAGTGATCATGTGCCATTTTATTTGTAAGATTATAAAAGTCACACAAACAAACAAGGCCTATCTTTGTATTTTTAATGTTTATTTTATTCGGTTTAGAGTTTCGGAAGACTACTCAGAAAGGAAATTTAGAAGATTGATTTTAAAAATTATATCTTGAAATAACTTATATCCTGAAAATGGTAGGCAGTCGTTGACACAGTCTTTGTGTATGTAAACTGTATGTAAACCAAAGCAGCGTCTAACAACATTTGCAGCCAGTCTTCTGCACTTCATTATGCATCCTCTTGTGCACGGGATTGTTGTTCAAGTTGGAACCATAAAGTAGGACAATGATGTTGATTATATGCATCTCCATCAATAGAACCAAATTTCTTGCGAATGGAAGACAAAAACTTCATTAACATAGAAAGGAAGAGATAAAAGAGCTCACTGAAGGAGTGGTCTTGAGTCATCAATCCCATTTCAATCCTGTCTTTGACTTATGCAGATTTAATTGGGAAAATCAGATGACAATTGAAATGATTTGTATGCGCCTTTCTAATTCTTATTCTTGTATTTCTTGCCGTTTCTGTGCATATCTAGCTATTGTGAAATCTCGTATAACTCTTGGATGGGACATGAAGTTAAAGGGAGAAAAATGACAATCAAAATGAAATCGGATGTTGATTAACACAGTGCGAGACGAGTGTTATATATAACTCCTAATAACAGTAATAAACCCAATATTTCAAGTTAGCGTTCTGTGAGGAAAATGAGATGCTTGGCATCTGTTTCATTTATTTTCAAGAGTTTTGGTAAAATGTGTGGTGTGTCCCGAAATATTGCTAAAAGAGTACCACCATTAAAAGAAACAATGAAAGTAGTCGACAAAGGTGGAGTTTGGCGGCTAAAACCTGAAATATTTATGAAAAGAGATAGACCTGTATACAGGGGGAAAAAAATTGGTAAAATTAATTTGTTGGGTGTCCCATTTGAAGAGCATGCATTGCTATATATATACTTTTGTTTGTTTACTTATTAGTTTAGTTAGTTTCCTGCTGGAAATTTTTGTCCCGGATTTGCTGGTCTCTATCTGAACCATGTAGGCACTGGTGAGAAAAGCATATTAAAATGCAGCTGCAATGAATTTACATTCATATTTGGAAGAATGCATTAAAAAGTGTAGCGTACTTTCCTGGATAACTGGGGGCGCTGTTGCTGTGATGTCATCCAGGGAAGACAAAGCTCAGTACATCTATAGGTTTTTCTGTTTAAATTGTGAACTCAAAATTTACTTTCTGAAAATATTTCTGAGAAAGGGATTGATGCTTACTTAACACATTAACAATAATGAATCAGCACAGAATGGAACATTTTGTTGGTCAAAATCTACAAAAACGCAGGACTTTTCAATACTAACAAATGTAACATTGAAAGGCTTTCTTCCTGGGACGACATCACAGTTTGGTCTTTAATGTGGAGATATTCTTCAGCAAAAAGACAAAAAAGACAGTAAAATACTCTTTGAAATAATGAAAAAAAATTTGAAAATAAGGTTACTTGGGACACAAGGGTGCATTTTGAAGGTTTGCATAAAAATTGATGGCAGCTACCCTTTATAATGCATGCTGTATCTGCGTTGTAGTTTTCATATAATAGTCCTTGTTTGCATATGTTTTCAATCTTTTTGCCTGATCTCTTGTCAACAGCTGTATAGTCTGGGGCGATGCACTTCAAAGAATGTACACAATACATAATGAAAACAAGAAACAGGGAAGGTCCATCTGTAAAAAACGCGTCCTCTGGTTTGATTGGAAAGGACTTGTTCCCGTTTTTTGTTTTGTTTTGTCTTGTTTTGCTTTTTGTAACCTTAGTTATCAGCTTGTAACTCGGCCAGTTTGTTGTTTGCCTGTACTGATTTTTCCCCCGTTGGCTTTTCTGTTGTTTATTTTTCTGCTCCACAAATATGATGATAGACAGGCAGAGGTTCATGGGAAGATTGGATATACTGTACATCTATTTGGCCTACGGATAAATATTTTTAAATATTATTTTGAGATTGAAAACAGCAAACCGTTCCCTTTTTGATAAATTGTTTGTGCTCATAACAATTGGAAATGTCTGTGACAAACAGACTTCAATTAAGCTGCCTCTGTTGAAAAAATCCTGCCCTCTGTTGAGTATTTTGTTTCTTCCTCCTGTGAAAAAATGATGTCCCACCAGATAGGCATACATATTAACTGTTTATTTTGTGTCCTCTGTGTAGATATCCTGCAAGTCGGTCGTGACATGTCATTTTCACATCTACACGTCTCTTTTTGGAACCATCAGTAAATACATGGATAAGAAGTAAAAAACAATGATTTCTGTGGTATCCATGGGGGATTATGAATTCAGGGACCCTGATCCTATAATGGAAGAGAGAGCTACATTTTAACTTATGAATTCACCTTGGTAGATGACTGTGACATCATGCTCAATAACTGTAGGGTTGTTGTCAAAAAAGGGTAGGGTTTTGAGTTTTGCGGGGAATTATAAGGGGAAACTGTGACTTGTTTTAACACTTGACACAGTGGATTCAAATTTGCATGGCTAGCTTATCAGTAAGAAAGTCATTTTTTCTCACAATTTGCAATTTGAAATAAAAAAAAACAAAAACAAATAGGGTCAGCGCAAGAAAGAGAGTGTTGCCATTGTTCTTTAGGGGACTTACCCGTTTTGCAAGATTAAAATGACAACTGGGGGGTCCCGAAGTGTACAATCCCCATCTATGGAAAGTGATATTTTCGTTGAATTATGACAGACTTTTTTGATCGGTTATGCAACATACATCATGAAAAAAAAACGAATCAAAGGTTATAAAGAGTTTACATTTACGAGGTTTAATTTGAAAGATATATGTATGTACACGCATAAATCGAAAAAGAAAGACCGAGTTGGAAAAAACAAAAAATGGCGACGAGGATGGGATTCGAACCCACGCGTGTAGAACACAATGGATTAGCAGTCCATCGCCTTAACCACTCGGCCACCTCGTCCGACAAGTGTTGAGGGAATAAAAACAACAGATAAAGAATTAGGAACAGCTCTAGTCGGGCTCCCGTCTAAGCTGTTTGATTGTTTGAGACTTTACGTATAGTGAAACAGGGTATAAGGCTGTCCAATCCTAGAACATGTGAAGCATATGTGCACGGTCGCACATGATGGTTGACAAGTGCACGCTCAGTACTTCCGTCCATAGCGCTAGCGCGCGATGGGATGGCTGACAGGACCTGTGTCAGTAACTAGAACTACAAACTTGGGGGAAGCCACTTTGAGCATGGGAGTTGACATAGGCAGTATATGTACAGTCGAAGTCAAGCAGCAATAGGGGTAAAATAAATGGTAAGTCTGCACATTTCTAAATAAACTCTAAGGGCGGGGATGAATTCCAGGGAAGAGTTCAAATTTAGCAGGGAAAGAAAAGAGTTACAGGCCCACTTGATAAAGACTCCCACTTGATATTGGACCTTGTGCGTTTTGCATGGAGCATGGATTCTACCTCCATGCACGGAGGAAGGAGTAGATCATGCGTACGGATGTTTTATTGTTGGTCAAGTCGTCCATTTTTTTTACTTTTCAAGTTTTTAATGGGGTGATTTTTTGGGGGGGGCATAATGTATGAAATTTCTTATTTACTTTTCAAGTTTTTACTGGGGTAGGCCCTAATATATTTGTTTCTTTTTTTATTTGGATATTTTAAAAATTTATTTTATTT